TTCAGGAGACAGGTTGCAGAAATTGACCTCAAAACAAACCGAGGTCAATGGTGAACTCTACTGGTTAAGTGCCGAAGTTGTTTCTCAGGAAGTTCCATCAATACTTAAGCCTTTACTTGTAGCCTATCAACACGTCTTTGATGAACCAAATGGACTACCTCCGGTTCAAAACCATGGTCATGCTATTATTCTTAAAGCTGATGCTCCACCAATTAATTTGAGACCGTATCATTTCCCTTATCATCAGAAACCTGAGGTTGAAAAACATGTTAGGGAACTTTGGCTGCTTCCATTATCCAGACCAGTACGAGTCCGTTTGCTTCTCCATGTTTGCTGGTTAAGAAGAAGGATGGTACTTGGAGGTTTTGTGTCGATTACCGACAGCTCAACCAATGGACAGTAAATAATAAATTTCCAATTCCTATTGTTGAGGATCTTTTGGATGAGTTGGCAGGATCAAATTTTTTTTCAAAAATTGATTTATGGTCGGGATATTGGCAGATTCTTATTAAAAAGGAGGACGTCCACAAGACATCATTTCGAACTCATCACGACCACTTTGAGTTTAAGGTAATGCCATTCGGTCTAACAAATACACCAACCACATTTCAATCATTAATGAATGATATATTTGGACAATACTTGCGAAAATTTGTTTTGGTGTTTTTTGACGATATTTTGATTTATAGTCCTTCGTTAGAGGATCATGTGCATCATTTAGAATTGGTTCTTCAAATTCTTACAACTAATCAGCTTTTTACAAGAAGGGAGAAATGTTTTTTTGGACAGCAACATATTAAATACTTGGGGCACATTATTTCTGCAAATGGAGTTGCTACAGATCCCTCTTAAGTGGAGGCAATGAGAAATTGGTAGATTCCTAAAAATTTAAAAGCCTTGCGTGGATTTTTTGGGGCTGACTGGCTACTACAGAAAATTTATTAAGAACTATGGTGAACTGAGCCGACCTCTCACCAATATGCTTAAAAAGGACAGTTTTAAATGGACTGCAGTTGCTAAAGAAGCTTTTGAGTTATTGAAGGATGCGATGTGCAGAGCCCCTATCTTAGCTTTGCCAGATTTTTCAAAAAGTTTTTGTTTGAAAACTGATGCGAGTTCTCGTGGTATTGGCGCGGTTTTATCTCAGGAAGGTCGTCCTATAGCTTATCTAAGTAAAGCACTAGGAGTTCGACATGCAGATATGTCCATTTATGAGAAAGAATATTTGGCGATTTTGATGGCTGTTACAAAATGGAGACATTATTTGGAAGCTCGACCATTTATTATCAAAACTGATCATGAGCCACTCAAACATTTATTGGAACAGAAATTGACAATAACTATCTAGAAACGAGGTCTTACTAAACTGCTTGGACTCGATTATACAATTAAATTCAGGAAAGGAAGTTCAAACAAGGTGGTTGATGCTTTATCGAGATGTTATGATGAGGAATCTAAACTAAATACTCTCACTGCCACTATAATTACGCCTGCTTGAGTGCATGAAATTGAAGCTACCTATGTTGATGATACTTTAGCTAACACAGTTATTACAAACCTGTCAATATGAACTATAGGACCTCAGCAACAGTCATATGTTCGAGGAGTGCTCCGATTTTGTGGGAAAATATATATTGGGTCTGCTGGTACATTAAGGCAAGAACTACTTAGAAGTTTTCATGATTCTCCCTTGGGTGGACATTCGGGGGGTCAAGCTACTTACCATCGTATAAAAAATTATTTTTATTGGCCTGGGCTTAAATCTATGATTCTTACTTATGTGCAACAATGTGATATATGCCAACGAACGAAGAGTGAGAATAATTCTCCACCGGGTCTGTTGCAACCTCTCCCTATTCCTACTCATGCTTGGACTGTTATTACTATGGATTTTATTGAAGGGCTTCCTACTTTATCTAAGTTCAATATGATTCTAGTGGTTGTTGATAAATTCACTAAGTACAGTCACTTTATACCACTTTCACATCCATATACTGTTGTGTGGACGTGGCTCGGAAATTTCTAGATAATATTTATCGACTTTATGGTCAACCCTAAATTACAATTTCAGACAGAGACAAAATCTTTACAAGTTTGTTTTGGAAGGAATTTCTAAAACAATTAGGGACATCTACCCTATTCATTACTGCTTTCGATCTGGAAACAGATGACCAAATAGAAAGAGTTAATTAGTGCTTGGAGCAGTACCTACGCAGCCTATGTTTTTTAGAGCCGAAAGAACGGGCAAAGTGGCTAGCTCAGGCAGAGTGGTGGTACAACACCAATTTCTACACTACCATTGGAACAACACCGTTTCAAGCGTTATATGGCTATGAAGCCCCATTATTACAACAGTAGACCAATACTCAAGTGCATTCAGTTCATGAGATTATGCAGCACATAACATAATTGAATCGAATTTTAAAGGAGAATTTACTATTAGCTCAGAATCGGATGAAACAGCATGCAGATAGACATCGTACTGAAGAGAATTCAATGTGGGAGATGATGTTTACCTAAAATTACAACCGTATCGACAGACTTCGTTAGCCCTGAGGAAGAACTTGAAGCTTTCGGCCAAGTATTTTGGTCCTTACAAAGTCATAGAAAGAATTGGATTAGTAGCCTACAAGCTTCGTTTGCCACCACAATCCAAAATTCATCCAGTTTTTCACGTGAGTCTGTTAGAGAAAAAAATTGGGTCAAGTGTATTTACCTCGCTCGATCCTCGGAGGTTGGAGATGATGGACAACTGAAGATTTACCCGGCTATTGTTATTGCCAAACGGAGTGTGAAACGTCAAAATCGACCGGTTACTCAGCTGCTGATTCAATGGTCGAATTTTTCACCGGAGAATGCCACCTGGGAGGATTATTCTGCCTTGAAATCTCAATTTTCTGGTTTCGATCCTTGGGGTCAAGGATCTACTACCGGGGAGGGTAATGTCATGGTTAGGGGAGAGACATCGAAGATAAAAGGGGAATTGGGATTGAACACGATGAAATTAGGGCTAAAGAGGTAGAAATTGAAGAATTGGGAATTAAGAAACCATTTTCAAAATTAGAGACTCAAAACGACAGTGGAATGGGTGTTGAGGAAGTGGGCTCACAGCAAGATGATCCACTAAAGTAATTAAGGCTGATGGGTTGGTAAGCAAATCTAATTCAGTTAGGAGTAACGGCAACAATACAATGTACAACATAAAAACAGAAGGAATGTACTGGAAATCTTGACAAATATCTAATGAAAATTCTGAATTCCTTTTCCTTCTTCTTCTAAATTCTTAATCCTTTCTAACATAAACATAACAAGTTATCACATGTTTTTACTGGTTTTTCAATCCATCGATGAGCCTGCATACACAATTAACGCTCTCCTTCAAAGAAATCTATGTTGTCAACCTTTTTCCTATTCTCCCAAATGTCTTTGTTGATAGATTCTGAGTTCTTCGTATTTGAAGAATTTATTTGTGAATTTATAAGTTAAAGAGGAATCAATGTTTTAAAGTTGACGTTGAATTAATGTTGGTTTCTTAATGTTTAAAATATATTAAATTAATTAATAACTTAATTCAAGTATCAACATATTATTGAAGGGGCACTCATAGGAACAAAATAATTATGTTCAATTTTAAAAGCTATTCTTGACGAGTTTTGGATCAAAAACCCTAAAAGCTTCTGATAGGGGAAGAACTTCAAATTGAATCTTTTTTGGAAAGAAAAACGACAACAGTGGAGGTCAAAGATTCTATGTCAAGTATTGGAGAAGAGGAGAAATACTGGTAGTTTGGGTTTCTTTGAAAGAGAATTTCAACTGTATATACAGGCTCATCAATACAGTAGGAAAATCAATAAAAACGCATGAAAACTCAAGAAACCAAAACTTAGAGAAAATATTGTTCATCAACTCATAAATAATGAGAGGGGGAACCAAAAAGAATATTTACCATCCTTCCGACAATGGAGGATTATGGTGTTTGAAGATGGAACCAAGGCCACCCATTAGCAAGTGTAGCTTGTAATACGTCACAGGGTCTCAAAATTTGAAACCCACACTTTGAAAAATATGTTAACCTAAAAATTTTATTTTTCTTACTGTACGTACGCGTGAATAAAACTTAATGAAGAAAACTTAATTTCATATATTTGATTTTTTTACAATTTTGCCTTATTATAAAATATGTTAAGGGCCTCATTTAAAAAAATAATATAGGCCTCAACATCTTTTGGGACAGACTTAGATGGGACTTGGAAGCAAAACGTACATAGGTTCTACTTGAAGCCTTAACCTTATCATTTTCATTAAGTTGATTCTTATACTTATTCTCAATACTTTTTTAAGTTGAATCTGAGAAAATTTAGATTTGAGTTTGGTTTAAAAAAAAGTAAAATAGCAAAACAATCTTTCTCAATGATGTTTTTTATTAAATGGGTCAAAGGATGGTCGATTAGTATCAAATAAGTCAGTTTAACATGTCACATTAGCCTTCCATTAATGGGATAACGTCCGTTAATCGTCGAATGATCGATTTGTGACAAATCAATAATGCTAGTGATTAATTTGTTGCTTTTAAAACTTTAGAGGAGAAAATGAAAATTTATCAAATATTAGTGACCAATAAAAATAGATGTGAATCCTATTCCTAATAACTAATCCATGCATTGCATGCAATACGAGTTAGTTACCACTGTAACCCAATCCATGGAAAGTGGAAAACACCTTTTAAATGCAAATTCCAATAATTAGAAATTGTAATAATATGTTATTTTTAAAATGTAATTATGAAATTTCAGCCATCGTTTTATTTTCTATTTCTTCATCAAATAACCTGGATGTGGAGGTCTCCCGCATTTTGTTTGAAAAGAGACGAAACTCAAAGCAAATTGATCTTTGTGAACTTATCTCTTCTCCGTTATCAATTTAAATTTCGTTTTTAGGATTTTTCATTACAAATTTTGAACAATTTCAAAAGCTTTGCTTCCCATTCGATTGATGAAGGAAATCAGGATCTATTAGTTTGGATTGGTGGGTGCATGCATTTTGTCGGTTTTCCTAGAAAATGTTGTTTGGACCAGAAGACACGCTGGAATTTGGGGTTTGTTCTAGGCCTTTGATCTTATTCAATTTTTGTTTGTTCTTTAATGGAATTATCAGGGACCCATTTTGATGTTGGAATTCAAAAGTGAGGGTTGATAATTACAAGGATCTGATCAGGATTTGGGAAATTTTGATGGGGAACGCTTGTGTAGGAGTAGTAGGACCAAGTAATGTTGGTGGTGCGACTGGATTTTTTCAATCTGTCACACAGGCGGTCTGGCGGCCAAGGCCGGCCATCGAGGACCCGTTGCTGGCGGCTAATGACGATAACAGCAACAAAACCATTGAAGGAAATGTGGTTAAGATCCCAGATGAGGAATCCAAGAATGATGAACCGAGTAAGCCGAAACCCCAAAGGCCAAAACACATGAAAAGGCTATCAACCATGCAACTGGAGTCAGTGCTAGGAAGGAAAACTGGGAATATGAAAGAGTTATATAGCTTGGGGCGTAAGTTAGGGCAAGGACAGTTCGGAACGACGTATTTGTGTGTCGAGAAAGGCACCGGGAAAGAGTTTGCTGGAAAATCCATTGCCAAGAGGAAGCTGACCTCACCCACCGATCTGGATGACGTTAGAAGGGAAATTCATATAATGCACCATCTAGCAGGTCACCCAAATGTGATACAAATCATTGGTGCTTATGAAGATGCTGTGGCTGTTTATGTTGTTATGGAGCTTTGTGCTGGTGGGGAGCTTTTCGATAGAATTATTCAAAGAGGGCATTATACCGAGAGAAAGGCTGCTGCACTTGCCAGGATAATGATTGGCGTTGTGCAAGCTTGCCATTCTCTTGGTGTTATGCATCGTGACCTCAAGCCCGAAAATTTCCTATTCGTTAACAAGGAAGAGGAGGCACCACTAAAAACAATAGACTTCGGGCTGTCAATGTTTTTCAAGCCAGGTATTACCCTAGTGGTCATGTTTAGCCAGTTCACAGACTCATCATTCGCTTCATTTACATGCAGCCTGTCATCTTTATAATAGATTTTGATAAAATTTATCATGTCAAACTACTCTTTGTCTGGTACCTAATCCCTTTTCCTCTAGGTCAAATATTCAATGAGGTGGTCGGAAGTCCCTATTATGTGGCTCCAGAAGTGTTGCTGAAGCACTATGGTCCGGAATGTGATGTTTGGAGTGCTGGAGTGATCATTTATATTTTACTTTGTGGAGTTCCCCCATTCTGGGATGGTGAGTGTTTTACTGCTTGGTGGTTCATGCCTCGGTAAATGCTTCCAGGCACGGTTGAATTACGTCTCATTTATTGGCACGGTTGTTATATATATTTTTTCTACCAGAAACAGAGCAAGGGGTATTTAACCAGATTTTGAGAGGTCAACCTGACTTTACCACAGAACCGTGGCCTAGTGTCTCTAACAGTGCAAAGGACTTGGTTAAACGAATGCTTGTGAAGGACCCTAAAAAGCGACTGACAGCCTATGAATGTCTTTGTGAGTATGCATAGATCTTCCTCTCTCTGGCCATTCTGTTATTTAAGAACAGATGGTCAACTTCAATGTTATTTTATCTTGAAAGCATTGATGTTGTTCTGTCTATCGCAACTGAATGCTCATCCTTTGCAGCATCACATAGTGGAGACTTACATTGGATATACTTTTCAGAAACAAGATTTGATTTGGCTAAAAATGGATGTATTTAGTGAAATGCATGTTGCCACTCATGATATTAATCTAGCTTTTCATGGAAATGGAAGATTAATTGTTCATTTAGTGAGTGATCATTTAAGAACCACCTAGATGGAGCATCTTAGATGCTGGTGCCTAATATTGCATTATTCTATTCTGTCAACTACTAGAAAATAATTTGTCCGGTTTATCTTAGAAGTTCAACTTGAAACTACTTTATTGGCAGTTGTAGATTATGACCTGATATTGCAGGAGAATGACAAAAAGAGTAATATTGTATGGTTTACATTATTCTGTTATATTAACTACAAGATGGAAGGACATAACTTGTATGTCCAGATATGCATCGTCACAGGCGAAGTACACAGGTACTTCAGGAAAATGAAAAGGTAAGAGAACATCAGCCAAGGAATTTGGATGATAGTAGAGAATTTCATTTTGGTTACTTAGAAGAAGAATTTCCATTCATATTTTGATTGGTGTTTCCTTTCTGCAACATCTTCCAACTAGTACTTCTTTGAGTCCAATTATTTTGTGTACGTGAAAGCATTCTATCATTCTTCAAAAGAATTCAAGACAGACGTACTGCATAAGTGTCACTTTACCGTAAACGGATTATTTACCTTCATGTGTCTTGGAAGGTCACCCTTGGGTTCAGGAGGATGGTCTTGCTCCAGATAAACCTCTCGATTCTGCTGTCCTGTCCCGTTTGAAGCAATTTTCTGCAATGAACAAGCTGAAGAAAATTGCCATCAGAGTTAGTACCCAGATTCATGTTAACTATCTAAAGTTCATAATAATTGTGGAAGATTTTTCAATTGAGTTGTGTTTATCCCCAATATGATGCATGAATGATACATATTGAATTGACTAAGCAACTTCTTAATGATAGAGTAAGAATCTTTATCAGATTAGATGCTTAATGCGTTCATCCATGCAGTTTCTGCAACAAGTTGTAATCTAGTTTTCGAGGGGCCATAACAACTTTCTATATAAATATATAAAAGTAAATATATTTCTTATCAAAACTTGTATTTGTTTATATAGGTCATCGCTGATAGTCTATCAGAAGAGGAAATTGCAGGCCTGAAAGAAATGTTTAAGATGATAGATGCAGATAATAGTGGACAGATCACCCTTGAGGAACTGAAAATTGGTTTGGAAAAAGTTGGTTCTAATCTCAAGGATTCCGAGATTAACGGGTTAATGCAAGCGGTAAGCATATTTAGTAAACTATCAGTCGACATTTGAGGGAACAATTATCAAATAGGAGAATAGACGAAGCTGTTTGAACAAGAAGTTTTTTGTTACATTTGAAACTACATTCTCCATTCATCATCTCAAATGTAAGAATGACCAGCCAGGCACCTATACCATTGTTGCTGATTTGGTATAATTATCTTTAAAAACTGCAGGCAGATATTGATAACAGTGGTACCATAGACTATAGCGAGTTCATTGCGGCCATGCTTCACCTAAACAAAATTCAAAAAGAGGATCATCTGTTTGCAGCTTTTAACTACTTCGACAAAGATGGGAGTGGCTACATCACTCCAGATGAGCTCCAACAGGCCTGCGAGCAGTTTGGCTTGCATGATGTTCACTTGGAAGATGTAATACGCGAAGTCGACCAGGATAATGTAAATACCAAACAAGTTGACTCTTTAACTTTGGTTTTCAGTTAAAAAAACTATCTTGGTTAAAAAAGGTACAGTTGATTTTACTTACATTGATTATCTTGATATCTTCTCTTCAGGATGGGCGTATCGATTACAGCGAGTTTGTGGCTATGATGCAAGACACAGGTTTAGCAATAAATCGCAAAACCTTCAAGTACTGATACACCATCTTGCTATGGTGAGACTCCTTAATCCATATTTCTTTACATCTTACTACAATTTTGATCTTTAACCTTGGACCTTAGAGGCAATCCCTGTTGTATACCAGAAAGTTGGCTAGTAATTTCGATATCTGAAACTTGTTAGCAGTTATCACTTGACTGTAATGAGCTATGTTACTTCAACTCTTCGTTTTTCTTGAAGCACCGATGTCAGATACCTATGTCTAACATATATCCTGACATGAGTATGGGAAACCCTTCCATACGTGTAAAAACTTTGAAAATTCTGTGGCAAATACAAACTCATATCCAATAGTTACGCCCAAGCCGAGATTTCTCGATCGTTTTGGCCCTGGTATTCTCAAAAGCTAACTCATTCATTTGCCCTCATCTGAAAAGAAAAATTTGAACTTAAGCTATGTTGATGGCATCGAATGGCATCCAATGCAGGTTTGAACCATTTACGTGACTTGCATGATTTCATCTGAAGTGACAGGTAGTTGATACCCATGTTCAAAACAACTTCTTTTAATAGCTCTGATAGAAATTGTATTATGTTCAATGCTCTGTCCAGTAGCGATGCCGATGGCCGGTAAGGTGAACTCAATCATCGTGCTACCGTACTTTAGGAATATGAAAGGATAGGTTACGCAGAAAAAAATGGCGTAAAATATCATGAAAGTTTTGCTGGCGAAGATCGGATTGTTGACAAGGAGAGCCCTCGGCGGAGGGGTCAAAGCTTGTACCAACCCATATTTTTGCACCTAGTCGATGGCGTGTTTTGCAAGTTTTCCAGTGCCTCGATTGGTTTATGTAATGTTCTAACTTTTTTTTTTAAAGAAAACGGACCTCTTATTTCAATTTTACATGTCCTTCATTGGACCATTTCAGGAACAATGGGATTGATTGGTTATTTCAACCCCTTTTAATTTTAACCATCACGTTCCGCAAGTAACAATGTTCTTTTTTTATTAAATAGGAAACAAAACTTTAATTCGATTATAAACATTTGGTTATTAATTGTGGTGTAACATATTTTTTTAAATTAATCACTGATATCCGATCTACTGATTTATTAATTCAGATCGGATATTGTAAAGGCGAGGATGACCATTCCAACTCAGTTTACTCCATTCACAAATGTTAGTATTTGAACCCCTGACCTTATTTAAAAAACTTAGTGCATCGTCCTACTAAATCAATCAATGAAATATACTTTTATTTAATTTGAATACTTGAGACGAAGAATAGCGGTAGTTCACATCATATAACATCTCAAGAATAGATGATGAGAATAATGTTAGAAACAATATGTTTTCACCGACTGTATTAAGATTTTGTTATGCCTTCGTAATCAAATATATACTAATATTAAAGCTTCATAGTCAAATACCATTATCTTTTATTAATTATTATCTCTTTATAAGACCATTAATAGACCCAAAGAATTAAGACTTAAATCTATTAATTGACATATATATTTATGTACACTATCAATATTTGAAATGCTCGTTCAACTCAGTTGATAGAGCACAAGGTTCTTAATCTTGAGGTCATGGGATCGAGTCCCACGGAGGGTATTTCATAATTCGGAGGTCTCCCACGGAAGCTGCTCTCAACCTGGCGTTGGGAGCAGCCTACTATCATACCTCCCCTTATCCCATATATAGAAAAAAGGGTCAACTAATTTTTTTAGATTCGACACCAACATATATACGAAGTCTATATAAAAACATTTATAGCATAAAAAATTCTTCATCTACTGACTCACTCATTACCCTCAAAATATATCTCTACAATATCAGAATTACAAAATTAACTTCTTCGTCCAAATAAGAAAAATAAATTATCAACTATGGACATAATTCATGTAAACAGTTCAATTTGTTATTATTTCATTTAATTTTTTAACATATTAATCATTATTGTACACACGTATATTACGTAATTATTTTTATATATTATAATAATAAAGTGTAAAAACCCGGTTAAAAAAATATGATAATATAAATATCCATATTCAAATCTTATTTGGTAGGTGTTATTTAATGGAATATTAGGTCCAAGCACACAAACATCCAGAAACATTGCAACGGACAAAAAAGATGGGATATGCTAATAATTATACTATAAAAAAATAAATATAAATATTTTTAAAAAAAATATTAATTTTAATAAACGAAATAATAAATAAATTTGTGAATATAAACGGATCGAATACATTTTTGTTCAAATTTATTAGTTTAATTAAATAAATATAAATTTCGGTTATTACTTATTGATTTAACTTAATAATGAATACTATACGAATGGTTCAGGAGTAGTTTATCAAATGACATGTTTATTTAAGATCTAATTATTATTGAAAATATGAAAAAAGTTTTATTTTTAACAATTAAAACTTGAAAACTTAACATTCACGAACAACGTAATACATTATTCTTTGGGACTGGAAATCCAGTTTACTCGTCGACAGAAGAATATAGGATTACTTTCATAAAGAGAATCTAAAAGAAACTTTAGTATTATATATTTTTTATTAATCTAAAGTGATTACAAATAGTTGTATCTGTTCCAATAACTTTAAATCATTTAACAATAAACATTCAAGATCATACATTTGTTAGTGCTCGATCTTGAGACCTTTAGGGATAATAACAATTATTTTAACTACTAAAGTCGTTTGCCCGTGTTCTATCGAAATATTATAAAGAAAACTCAATATAAATCTAAATTTCATATTAAAAAATCAATGAAAACTCAAGTAAAAAGTAATAATACTTAAAATAAATAATATTTATTTTTTATTTTATACAAATAAAATCATGCGAATAATTATGCTAAGTGTAATTCGTAAATTAGAATTTATATTTGAGTGTTATATTTTTTGTAACCTTAAAAATATGGTACAAATACATATCCCATAGTTTCCCGAACTCATTTTTGATGTTCCTTATTTTCTCTTTTCTTCTACCTCAGCAAGACACCGTCCACATCAAAAGAACTAGTTCATTGTAAAGCGGTTGCTTTGTGGTTTCCCCGTATCGTTTCTGATTTGGTAAGGAATCTTCAACTCCTCTTTATTTCTTTTTTATTTTATTTTAATTTTTGCATTTTTCCTAACCATGGAGGGTTGTTCATGCGTCTTCCTTACAGAGTTGATTGTCCTGCCGCCCTACACCAATACGACACGAATCTAGGGTCGGTCCCGATTATTTCTAGACTTGAGGCGGAAACAAAAAAATGGGCGCCTATTATAAAAAATAAGAAATATATAATATAATTTTTTATATTTGATTAAACAAATAGCAATTCATTACAACATAAAAGATGTCAAAAAATATATTTAAGTATACAATTAATTATAAAAATCATTAGGTTGGAGCATTTCTTGATGCAAAACCATTGATGATAGTGTCAACAACTCAATATCAATGTTTTCCAACATATTTTTCTCAATACATAACATAACATTTGAAAATAAAAGAACGATTTTATCTATAATTTGAAAATAAATAAAAATTAAAAGAAAGAATTTAAAAATGTGATCTACCTAAAATTTTAAGAACAATCTTCAATATTATTCAAGCACCACAATTAATGATAAGCAATTGTGACTTTCTGTGTGTGTGAGAAATATGATAAATTAAAAAAAAAATTCAGAGGCTAGTAATTCCTTAATGCAGGTTCCTATGTTTTGTGTAAAGAATAACTTATTATCGTAAATTCTTTTGTTATATACAAAAAGATAATTCTTTACCAGACAAATAAATAAGTGTAAGATTTTAAAGAACCTACACATTTTTTGTGTGGTTAAATGGAGTAATTATCATTTTTGAAGACTTGTATTTCAAACAAAATGCTTCTAATCTTTGTATGTTTCTCTCCATTTTAAAGAGCATACAAAGCTCTCTAACCCATTCCCCTAGTTTTATATTTTCAAATAATTCTAGACTATATACTTTTAGACTCAACATCTGATGAATCAATCAATTCTCACTTTTGTACTTCTATATACCTCTTGTTATTTTGGCGATATTTATATGATTTTCTAAACTTGTATGTGTGTGTATATATATGTTGTGAAATTCGGGTTAATTTCCACCAATAACAGATTCACCTTGAAAACTATTATCTAGGTGACTAGTGTGAAAACGATTGTACTAAAAATCACCCCAAGGTAGATTCCCAGGAAAGAGGAGGGGTCACAATGGTCCCTCTTAAAACCCACTTTCCTTAGACAGAACTACCAAGACAAGTAATTTTAATAGGACAATAATTGACAACAACTATACCCGACAATAGCTATTAAATAGACATAAAAGAGAACACCAAAATATTTCACTAATAGAGGAAATATTACAAAGAGAGAAAGAATACAAATAGCCTTTAAAATAGAAGAAGGCTTATATTTGTGGGATGATTAACTAAGGAGGAGGAGGGCTTTATTTATAACAAAAGAATTTCCCCTCCTCCTTATACACAACCAATGTGGACTTTGCCAAAAACCAACAAATCTCCACCTTGGCAAATTCCACACACATCTCTAAAAAAAACAATCTTTAATTTGTAACAATATTGACCAAATCTAAACAATGTTTAAACTTGACCGCAGTTACCACTTTTGTCAACATATCAGCAGGATTCTCAGTGGTCCGAATCTTCTGGATTATGACTCCACCTTCTTCTAGAATCTCTCGTACAAAGTGATATCGAACATCGATGTGCTTCGTCCTTGCATGGTAAACATGGTTCTTTGCTAAATGAATAGCACTCTGACTGTCACAGTGCACTTTGATGTGCTTTTGTTCCATTCCCAATTCACCAAGCAACCCTTGAAGCCAAATTGCCTCCTTCACAGCCTCTGTAACTGCCATATACTCTGCCTCTGTAGTAGACAAAGCCACTGTTGACTGTAAGGTGGACTTCCAACTGACTGGTGCCTTTGCAAATGTAAACACATAACCAGTAGTTGATCAACGCTTGTCCAAATCACCTGCATAGTCTGAATCACAATACCCAACTACACACTAACCATCTTGTT